GCATCTATGCACCAAGTTTCATCAAAAACCGATGTATGGTTCTTGAGATAGCAGTGGAACAGTCGGACACACATACACACACACATACAGACACACTAACTGCAAAGACTCCCATTTTGTGCTTCGCACATGGGAGTCAAAAATTGTAAAATGCTGTGGAATTTCTTTTGTAAATAAAAATATACTAGCAATTTTCTATTACCCCCCCTAATGGTTTATTCAAGTGGGCAAAATATAATGTACAGAAAGATTGCCCGTATAAACTGAAAAGTAAGCAACCGACAGCCTGTATAAAAGGGGGGCTGTAATTGGTTGTTACTTAGGCGAGATTTGAACGGGACTTACATAGGCGTCGGATCAGATGTAGGTAGGGCGGAATTAAAAAAAATCACAAAATCAAAATCAAAGTAAAATAATAAAATAAAAAGGCATTAATAACAAATATAATAAAAAATAAAATTAAAATAAGTTTATAGCCAAAATAATTAAAGCCCGTACACTATATCAGATTTTAATCAGATTGAGAGTGGCATGGAGCTGTTTACCTGGTGGTAGACTGCTGAGTGTGTCTAGCCATTTTTCCTTAGAGTTCCAGTTTTTGTGATTTTGTTGTAAATAGAATTATCTCTATTTTCTAAGTTTTCTTTTTATTATTGATTGCTTTGACAATAAAGGACTCATTCGTGATAGTTTGGTTGACTTGTGCATTTAGAAATGTATTTCTTTGCTGATTCAAGTTTTGCTGCTGTTAAGCTTCTAGAGAGCAGCTCTAATGATTCTGGCAGACGTGTGAGGAGAGGTTTGAATCTGTTTTGGAAATGTAGTTGGAAGGCTGCTTTGATATTAAACCTGGTGCACATGAGAGCTACTGTATCAACTCATTCATAGCCGTTTGCTTAAACAGTTAGCTTGCATGTACGCATAACTTTATATAAGATTTTGATCACTTGTGGTAAAATCTATCATGATAATTTGCTCACAGTGCTTATATTTGCTTATAAAGCAGAATTAATTTTGTCTGAGCTGATAGCTTTTATGTGCACCAGGCGTTGGGAGTTTTCAATTGTTCTAGATCAAGGTTTAATTTTGTCTGTTTGGGTTAGTACCAGCGAAAATCTAACTTGATTGTGGCACACACTAAGTGGTGATCTGTAATGTCTGGTTTGTTTAGGACATACATTTGTATGTGTTTTGAATGGCTTTCTGATAACACTGTCTGCTGTCAAAGTCAATTAGACAAGGATGGGTTCAAGTGTGATTCATACATGTTAGTTCATGCAAAGTACAAAAGTTGGCTAGCTTTTTGCATCATTTTGACCATAGATGCATTTACCAACTGCCTTTGGTGAGAAGCTATGGCGTTCACGAGCCTGCGCATTCAATTTTATATATGAAGTCTCTTAGTGGTATTTTCTTAAAGATATTTTTTTAATTTTGGCATACACATGGTCAACATAATGGTCTTTTTAGTTTGATGTTGGGAAATATGTTTGGCTATATGTTATCCTGTTGAATTTACCATGTAGTATAAGGGTTACTGGTTGGTCAGATATGGATTTAAACTTCTGCACTGTATCAACAATTAATTTATGAACTATGAACCCAACTCCAGTTTCCAAAAGTGTAGAAGTAAAAATAGTGTGTGAAGTTTTTTTTAAATTTTTGGTCTCTGCAAGATCCACAGCATGCCATTTCATAGTTGAGAGCTCCTGCATCATGACATCTCTTTTGTCTTTTTTCAGATCAATAGTGTTTTGTGTATTGTATGTACAAATGGAGATGCCTTTTTTTTAAAAATATGCATTTCTCTCTGTTCGCTTGTACCACATTTATCCAGGACTGCAGATGCTGTCCCCTGTTCACATTGGATTGTGATTTTGTGATCAACCAGCTCTGCGAATTAGTTAAAATCAAGTGATACCCTAGTAATTTTTCTATCCTGGGACCAGCTCTGAGTGTCAAAAAAATCATAATTTTACGAATTATGCTTATGGCTCATCATCACTGTTATAAAAATGGTATGTCCTCGATTTGTTTTTCACCATAAAATGATAAAATGAAGCCTACATATTGTGACATTTACCATACCATATCATATAACTGTGAACAAGAGTAGGTTACTCACCCCAAGTTCATTTAATGTGGCAGCTTTCTTTGATGCAATAACATCACTTAGATTTCCATGAGTTAACTGTGAATAGAAAACACCATAAGCACAGACATAGGAAATTAAAAACTGATAAATATCACTTACAAGAACAGAATTAAAGGACAACTTACAATAACAATTTCATGTTCAAGAACTTCATTTCTAAGAACCTGAAAAGCAAAAAAAAGTGAAATAAAAGAATCAGAGATATGTGGATAAAATAAAAATAATCATTTCATTTAAATTATATCCTCCAATAATATTAATAATGGTGTTCTGAACTATTGAGCAGTAGCTATGTTAATCTCTTGACCTTTTCTTGTATGTAAAAAAACACATACCTGACAGCACATTTCATATTCCTCTTCAGCTCTTAAAAGTATAACACAAAATTCAGAATCTGTCTGTTCTTCAAGCTGTAGTCAGTTATGAATGAAAAAATAATTAGTTACAGCCTCAATATAAAATACATCAAGCACTATTACTGTGTAAGGCATAAATTATTTGCTTGGTTTTATTTTCGCATAATTGCTAAAGAAACTAATTTCAATAGCCTTCTTTAATTACTGCATAAATTTATTCAAGTTAAAATGTTTAGTATTCCAGTGATATCAAATTAAAACCAGCCAATTCTCAAATTCTCCTTTCATAGCATAAAATATCACATCATGTTATCATACCGGGCTTCTTAATTTGGAACACTGCAAATCAAATTATTGGAAATGCAACTCAATTAAGACTCACATAGTTAATAACTTTTAATTGTAACGAGGCTGCATCTCTGTCGTATAAATCTTCACATAATTTGAGGATACTCTGTGATTGTGACCATGATAACACTGATGAGGATCTTGAATATTGATAAGTTGTTCGAAGCAACCTTTGAATACACACCAGTATCTGAAATTGAGAACACAAAACTGACGTGTAATGAGACTGTGCACACATTAATTATTCACATGGTTTTAACTTTACTATATTTTTTTTTCCCTTGAGATATTAAGTATTATGGTCATATATACCAAATGCCATGGTTGGTGCATTTTCAAGATATTAGTCAGAAGCTCCCAGCCAATTGCTAAAAATTAACAAACAATTGGTTATTTTCAGCATCTTAGGGTGTCACCAATTCTGTTTATTTGATGCATATTTCAGATCATGAATTCAAATTGTCATACATATTGAACATTAAGAATGTCACAGCCCCTTTTCTTGAGTGGTCATATCATTTATATGCTCTGTGAACTGTGAACTAGTCAGAACTTATTTAGTTCCTTTGTTTATTTATAATAGTCACTGCCAGCCACTTATACTACCTGTCTCACTTCTCCAGGCATAATCTGTGATCTCTTTGGTTGCTTTGTCTGCATGAGAACTTGAGTGTCAGCACAGTCAACTGGCCCACTACTGTACAAACTGTTTATTTTCAACGCAAGGTACAATGTACAGCAATTTCACAAATTTTAGAATGTTAATATTTTATTTTTAATGTATCCTAATTAATTAATAAAATTTACAACTTTCTTTTTCAATCATAAAAATATCATTTTTCACTATAAATGATTGTGGTTTTTAACAAGAAGAAAATATCACTTTTTACCAAAAAAATTCACCAAAATTAGAAAATTAAAGATATCATCATGAAATGAACAAATTTGAGAATGATCCAAATGTAGTACCTATATATGTAATATCAAAGCAATTGGACTTGCGGTTTTTAACAAGAAGTCGAAAATATAACTTTTTACCAAAAATGACAAAAATATTCATCAAAATTAAAAAATTAAAGATATCATCATGAAATGAACAAATCTGAGAGAGGTCCACATGTATTACCTATATATGTAACATCAAAGCAATTGAACTTGTGGTTTTTAACGAGAAGTCGAAAATATCACTTTTTACGAAAAATTACAAAAATATTCATCAAAATTAGAGAATTGAAGATATCATCATGAAATGAACAAATTTAAGAGTGGTTCACATGTAATACCTATATATGTAATATCAAAGCAATTGGACTTGTGGTTTTTAACAAGAAGTCGAAAATATCACTTTTTACAAACAAGCAGCCTATCGGCTGAGATAGCTCCGCTGTTAGCAATGCACATTTCAATTAAAGAACTGAAGACATCATTAGAAAATGAACAATATGAATAGTATCAAAGCAATCGGACTTACAGTTTTTAACAATAAGTCGAAAATATCACTTTTTACCAAAAATTACAAAAATATTCACCAAAATAAATTAATTAGAGAATTGAAGATATCATCACAAAATGGACAAATCTGAGAGAGGTCCACATGTAGTACCTATATATGTAATATCAAAGCAATTGGACTTGCAGTTTTTAACAAGAAGTCGAAAATATCACTTTTTACCAAAAATATTCACCAAAATTAGAGAACTGAAGATATCATCACAAAATGAGCAAATCTGAGAAAGGTCTACATGTAGTATCTATATATGTAATATCAAAGCAATTGAACTATTGGTTTTTAACAAGAAGTCGAAAATATCACTTTTTACCAAAAATGACAAAAATATTCACCAAAATTAGAGAATTGAAGATATCATCACGAAATGAACAAATCTGAGAGAGGTTCACATGTAGTACCTATATATGTAGTATCAAAGCAATTGCACTTGCGGTTTTTAACAAGAAGTCGAAAATATCACTTTTTACCAAAAATATCACCAAAATTAGAGAATTAAAGATATCATTACAAATGACAAATCTGAGAGAAGTCCACATGTAGTACCTATATATGTAATATTAAAGCAATTGGACTTGCGGTTTTTAACAAATCTGAGAGAGGTCTACCCAAGGTACATATACACCAAATATCAAAACATTTAGACTTGTAGTTTTCAAGAAGAAGTCGAATAAGTGAAACATTGACACGGACGACGGACGCAGGACAGACAATCACTCATACATATGATAAGCTCCGCTCGACAAAGTCGACAGCGGAGCTAAAAAGCAGAGACACATTTAATTAAAGCCACTTTGGATGATATGGTTTATTTAACTCCTATAGAGTAGCAAACAATTAATATGGTGGATCCAATGTACAACTTCCACACAAATAATTCAAATTCTAATCAAGAAAATGATTAAATACAGGTTTCAATTTCCTGTCACCATGGCAACAACCGTGCTGGGTTCTTGCTGACTTTAAAATTCCAATCAGCTAAACACATTAACAAAATCACAGCTTGACTTCTGTACATGTGTATAGGTATCTAATTTTTTGCATCATAGGATTTCAAGCATGGAAACAAACGTTTTTTTGGTATTAGCAATAGACGCTTTTCCATGCACTACAAGATCACACGTTATGCATGAAATCGAACATATTTACAAGACAAACAAAGGTCATAGCATCATGAGATATAACGTGTGGAATTTGATGTATTTTTTGATGTATTTTACTTAATAATGTGCTGCACACTTTTGATGATGGCCAATTTCAACAAAGTAAGGGCATTTAAACGCAATATTCCCCTGTCAAAGATTGGCCTTTTGATGTGAGCTACAAAATAAAAAGATTCAAATTGAAAATCAAATCATTCACTTTTTGCGGCAGACGTTTGCGGCACTCACACAAGCAACCTGTCAGCTGAGATAGCTCCGCTGTTAACAATGCACATTTCAATTAAAGAACAGAAGATATCATTAGAAAATGAACAATATGTATAGTATCAAGCAATGGGACTTGCTGTTTTCAACAAGAATTCAAAAATATCACTTTTTACCAAAAATTACAAAAATATTCGCCAAAATTAGAGAATTAAAGATATCATTACAAAATGAACAAATCTGAGAGAGGTCCACATGTAGTACCTATATATGTAATATCAAAGCAATTGGACTTGCAG